ACAAAAGGGTCTGACAGATCTCTACAGAACATTCCACCCAAATAAAGCTGAATTTACATTCTTCTCATCAGCCCATGGAACTTTCTCCACAATAATTCTTTTAGAAAGTATAGAAGAAAAAACTATTATGATCATTTTGAATAATAATCTTAAATCTTTTCAATTTCCCATTGCTAACACTTACATACAACTGTGTTTGAAATTGTATCACAACATTAATGCAACAAGTCTTGAGTGCCACTACAAATTTAGGGGAAAAAAGGGACAAAATTTAATAACATCAATTTAGTTTTCCATAAAAGGCAGATTAATTTTCTCACTACTTAAATTTTTGTCTGATATAAGAAAAAATTACTACATCAAATAACTGATATTCTCCTTTAGAAACTATTATATAGCAATACAAAAATGTACAATTTTGTACTATAAAATTTATAATATAAAAGAACAACATAAAATATGTTACATTCTATACCCTTAAAGTTAATTAGTTAAAATTTTGGTATGATTAAGAATTAACAAAAATGCACACAGGCATATCAGAAGAATTAGGTTCAGAAAACAAGATAAGGAGAGCAGTGAATGTATTTGAAAATACATTAGAGGTGAAAAAAGTTATTAGGGAAGAAAAAGAACAGGGGAACCAACAGGCACTTATTTTTATTTACCTACCAACGGCAGGCTATTCTTGCAGTTTATCTCTGCTCTTCTTAGCTTTTCTATCTAGGTACTGGCTACTTAACTTTTTCCCTGAAAACTGCTCCCAGGACCATCACCTACAACACCAGTCACTTCTCATCTCCAATGTTTTAACTGTAGTCAAAGGGAAAATGGAATTTGACAAAACTTTAGAAATTTGATGTGTTTTAGATCTCCCGTAGGCAATGTACAAAATTGTCATTAATTGATTCTGTACCACTTGTCTATTATTTAAAACTAAAATTTAAAAGAACACTGAGATACCATTTTTCAAACCTATCCAAATAGCATAGGTTGTTTAAAATGACAATGTCAAATGTTGGCAGTGGGTTGAGTTTTGGCATCATCAAATTTCTGGGAATGTAAATGAGCACAGTCTTTCTGAAGAGAATTTTGGCAATGCTTATCAAGAGTTAAGAATTTTTACACCTTTTGACTCAGCAATCCCACTACTAGAAAACTAACATGAGGAAATAATCATAAATATACATAAATATTTATGTGCAAGGTTATAAGGTCATTCATTCAAGTGGGAAAAAAACAGCAAAATCTAAATGTTCCAAAAATAAAGGGTTGGGTAGATGAAATATAGTTTAGACACATAAAAGAATATTAGATAGCTGTTTAAAATCATGTTTTTAAAGAACATTAAAGAGTAAGCACCATGGATAAGAGTAACAGTCCATCAAGCCTGGCATTCTAGGTCCTGCAATACTAATGCATATATTATGGGGCTGTGTCCAGGATGCTGGTTTCGAAAGAAATATAGTGTAATGAAATGAACACAGGACTGGGATTCTAACTCCAACTCTACTAATAAATAGTCTTATATCCTGAGCAGGTCACTTGAAATTCTATAGTTTCAATTTTTTAATCTCTAAGCAAGGTAGCTAATATAAATCTTTATGTCTCAATCAGGAGGTGGCAGTATGCTAGAAGTATGCAAATCCACTGTATCAATATGGCAGATCTTCCTGAAACATCGACTTTACTTGTTGGTAAATAACTAAAACATATTGCTTATATTAAAATAAATACAAATAACATGTTGTAGAGCAAAATTTACTTGATTTTTAAAGAAAAGGCATCAGAAAGAAATTCAGGGCTACTCTGTAGAGGGCCACTTTGGGTTACAACCTCAGGTATACCATGTTTACTCCCTAAACTTACTATAACTTTAGTGAGTAAAGTCTAAGAAATTGAGTCAAATGAGCAAAAGGCACAGAATAGAGCTGAACGACACACAGAAAAATGCTAAGTGGGTACCATGTGACAGGAAGATCTTAAGGCCAGTAACAGGTATGCATATAATGACTCACCTAATGCTTATACACAGACATGAATACACCCACCACTTCAACACTAAATGAAAGTTGTGCACAGGTTCAAACAATGAGTGGAATACCTTGATGAAGCAGCTGCACTCGGTATAAAGGAGGCAGTGAAGTCAAAAGGCATGTATGCAGGCGCATAGCTAACAAGTATCTCAAACCACACTCATCTAGGGTGTCTCTTCCTGTAATTTAAACAGAAAGTACGTTTAAGGAAAAAAGAATACAATGAAGCTACAAACCAATAATAAGTTATAAAAAAAACATTAAACTTAGTAATGACAATTTACATAAGATATATAAGATACTTTTTCAGCGTATTCCTTCCTGAACAATTTAACACATTTACCAAAAAAATCGTATCTTTCAAAAAAAGTGTGAATATTAAAAATCCTAAATGAAAAATAATTTGGGAAAATACAATTACCTATTAGAACAGATAATAATAGCATTTATATTTATTCAAAATAAATAAAAGTAAAGAAATCTTGAAATCCAATAAAAAGTATATTAACTATACTAACTTAGATACGATTTTTAAAAATATTTCCTACATGAATTCAGATCAGATTTCAAGACAGGAATTATACAACTAATGTGAAATTATTTGTTATATAATTTAACAGTAACACTTTCTACACTGGTTAGCTTTACCATCCAAGATTTAAAATTTGATTCCCCAGGCTAGTTAGTATTAGAAGGTTAAGGTGAACCTTAACCTTGATTCCACAAATTTACTTACACAAATTTGATTCCACTTAGTTGAAAGGTGAACAAAGATATGAAAATGTGGCAAGTTTAATCAAAACTACCGCCACTGCTGGATAAAAGCAATGCAAACATACTGACAGCACCCAGCCCAATAACTGACACTTGTGAAGTACCCAAAGACTGTAGAATCAAATAATATTTTCCAAAAGAAAATACATTTTGTTAAATTGCCAAAGTTCAAGTCCCCATTCCATTTCCCATTACCTATCTCCAGTCATCCATTTATTCATTCAACAAATTAAGCATCTACTACATGTGAGGCACACATTAGGTACTGGGGATTCAGCAGTGAATGAAGCAAAGTCCCACTCTCGTGGAGATTATTACATTTTAGGAGGCAGAGACAAAAAATTAAACAAGCAAATAGTATGTGGAAAATAATGCTATGGAGGAAAATGAAGCAGGATTGAGAGCAGGGCACTGCTGGATTAAGAACATTCTATTTTATACAGTGAGGCTGGGAAGAATTCTCCAATAAGATGACATGTCAGCAGAAATCTGAGGAGGTAAGTGAATGAGCCATGCATAAATTTGGAAGAAGAGCATTGTAGCAGAGCAGAAATGAGTGCAGATCACGTGGGGCCTTTTAGACCACTGTTAAGGATCTTGATTTTTATTCTAAAGTGAGATGGAAAGCCACTGGTATATGCTGAGCAGAGAAGAGTTTTAATGGGATTTTGTTTTAAAAGAATCACTGGTTTCTAAGTGAAGGACAGACTGAAGTATCAAGGATGAAGCAGTTAGGAGATGACAATGACTTGGACCAGAGTATTAACCACAGAGGTGAAGAGAATTGATTGGATTCTGGATATAACAGAACTGATAACATTTGCCAATGGACTAGATATGGGGTATGAGAGAAAGCAGAGTCAAGAATGACTGTAAGTCGTCTCACTTGAACAAAAGGAAGAATTCATTTACCTATGTTCCATTTACTGAGATGTGCAACTAATTTATTTAATCTCTGAGCTTCAGTTTCCTACCTGTAAAATGGAGACATTCATTCTTGCCTTATTACCTCATGAATGTCCAATTTGACCAGGATAAGCTTTTATATTGCTTAGCCAATGATACAGTTTTGTATCAGAAAGTGTAAACTCTTTTGCATGGGTTATGGTATGCCTACTTTCTTAACATCCCACAGTAAAAACTAATATATATTAAGTATGCAACAAAAGCTTAAGGTTATTCTGGGCGGGGGGGAATCTCGCTCTACTGCACATGATTTCATAATGTTAAGTCGTTTTTTTCCCTCAATTAACAGTTAGAAAATAGGTCACAGGCAAAAACCCTCTAAGGTCTCTAGTTATTTTAATCTGCAAAAGAGAAAACTTTGGAGATACATTATAAAGATGTAAACCTATACGAAGAGATATTTGCCAGCTGGCTTTGGGGAACAATCTTTTTTCCCCAAATCTGAAAATCTTATGAAATAGTTAAAAGAGTACAGGCTTAGAGGCAACACTATTATCACATATGAACCCCGGTTCTGCCACGTAATGCATATGTGATCTTGGAAGAGTTGCTTAATTTCCTAAAGGTCAGTGTCTTCATCTATAAAATTAAATATAATAATAGCTACCTACTGAAGATTGTTGTGATAATTAAATATGATAAAGTACATAAAGTGTCTGGCACATAGCAATTCTTCACTCCTCCACAATATTTATTGAATGAATGAATGATCAATAATTTTCCATTTCCTTTGCTCATGCCATCATATACAATGAACACCACTACCTTCAATCATCTGCATAAAAGAGAATGGAAACTACCTTCAGGAGGCAGCCCAAAATTTTCTAGTTACAGAATGAATTAGGCATAATTAGAAAATGTCAAGACACATATGACATTAAATATATGGAAGCCTTTCTCAAGAGACATTTTGGAGAAAATTAGGTAATTGTAAAAAGTTATTTATGACTAGAAATGAGATCATGAACAAGTTGAGCCTATGATGTCCCTATAAGACTCATGATTCTATAATAAAATTAACAAATGGGCCATTATTATCACCCAAAAATAAAACCATAGGGATCAATCTGTTTGAAAAAACAAGAGACTATATATCCAAAATCATACAAAGGTTTCAGTGTAAAAACACACGAATGCACACAGATATCACAAATCCATGAAGTCATACGTCTGCCTCAACTGTCTTTGCTTTTACACCTAAGCATATTATGTAATAGTAATTATCTCTTGGAGAGGTCTTCTCCCTGCAGAGTTTGAAAGTAAGACAGCAATTCAATAGGTGAGTCATCATACAGATAATACAAGATAATCATTAATTTCTATGAATGATAATTTTATAAATTTTTAGTGAGAATATTTACCTGAGTAACTCTTATCTCTGTTTTCATCAAGCTCTGTACTGGTGGTAGCCACTGTATCAGCCAATGCTACAAGGAACATCTGCTCCAAACGGGTAAGGCCTGGTAGACTTGAGTGCATAAGATGACTTGAAAGTACCCTAGCATGTTCTTGGCCAAAGTAAGCTGGTCCATACTGAGAAAGATTTATTACTTTTGATTTGTGTTCTCTCTTTTCTGGTTCTAAATCGATATCATCTGTTGTTATATCCTGGATTTGAAACAGCTCTGAATATTGATCCTCTGGGTGACCTTCAGTATGATCTTCAAAGCTCTGTGGTATTTTTGTACTTTCTTCTGAAATTCTGTAGGATGTATCCTGATCTGCGGCAAGCAATGCATATAGTGGTAGTGGAGGGATAGAATCTATCTCAGTATAATCTCGAGTACCGTCTTTTCCTATGGTGACTGTATCCTTTGCTGTACTGCCACTTACACTAATGGTTCGAGACAGATGTCGCTTACTTCCTTCTCCAGCATCAGCATCTCTAACTATTGCAACTTCACCCGCAATACATTTTACTAAATGAGAGAGAATGGCTTTAGCCCTTCGAACTTTCCCTAAATCCATCAATTCTAACAGTTGAGTTGGATGATATTGTGGAAGAGTAGGGGAAAGTACGTGTGCAGCCTCAAATAAGCCACCATCTTGAACTACAGTTGGTGAACAAAAAATATCATCGGCAACAGCTGTTCCTTCAACAATACTTTTTCTTGCCAGCATATTAGATTTAAAGGCCGAATGATCTTGTATTGCTGCCTCTTCTGCATCAGGACTATCAGTTTCAGTGTCTCCAAATTTCACAGCATGCTTCCACTGTGCATATACATGCATTTCACAGTCCATTCCTACCACCAATATTCCATCTCTTACCCAAGAGAGAGAAACAGGCAGTGAAGGTGTACCATCAACAGAAGACACCAAGTCTATGGATCTAAGAAGAACCCATCTTGACCTAACTCCTTGCTTGATACTACCACCTAGTGGTAAAGTAATGACAGCTACTCCATCCTTACTGTTCGTTTGCTCAGTCACAATTCCTGAAAGCCTCCCATACATGAAGATATTAGCACCAACCCCCACTGTGAGAATGTGGGAGCCATCTTCTTTTGATACCCAGTCCAAATGTACTAAATGCTTGATATTCGGAATAAGATATCTATCCTTGCTCAAAAGTGCATCTGATTTGCTATATACAAACAGATTACTGTCAACGCTGACCCTTGAATCAAGTACACTTCCAACCTTAACCAAATCATCAAGATGAATTGTTTGTTCTAAAACCCATTCTGATCCTCCTGTAGATTCACATTCAAATATACAAACATGCATGGAAAATTCTTTAGAAACAAAACCATTGTGGTGGATTGGCTGCTTATAAGCCACTGCAAGGCGACCTGTGTATGAACAGCTAACAGCAACTGGTCTTCCCACAATGCTCACTGTACTGCTATTATCTTCTCCTTCATCGTTCATCAAGGGCCATTTCCTCCAGTGATAGATTTCTTTCTCATCACTTTTATTACATTCTGTGTTGGTTTCCATACAACATTTCCAGAAGCGTACTTTATTGTCAGAACAAGCTGTAACCACTAAATAAGGTGCAAGGCACACTGGATAAATTGAAGAAGAACTCAGATGGCCTTAAAAAAAAAAAAAATCAGGTAGTTATAATAATAAAGCCACAAAATAATACACTAATACTCATATTTTAGAATGTGATCAAAGCCACTATGAGCTTCTTCAGAGTAACTATGCAGTCCTCCTCTTAACTAGTGTCCTACGTGAAATGTCCATTAGCCAAAGTAACTATAGAAGTCCTCAACAGCCATTAGTGAAATCAAAATATGCAATGATAACTTAATTTGTTTTTAATAATTTAATTTAAATGCGGTAAACATTTAATTAAAGTAAAACTCAAGAGCAATCAAACAAGTCAATCCTTAATCAATAAATGTGTTATCTGCCATAATTTATATGTGCCTTCACCATAACATGCCTCACTACTTTCATACTATATAATTTTCATCACAGATGCTTCCATGATCATTATAATTTGCCCTTCAAATTCCCCTAACCTTCCCTCAATAATCCAGACCCCAGATATACTCCTACCATCAAATTGTTTTCAGACAGCAAAACACACCAATAGATTTTGCTCTTGTCACCAGCTTTAATTCATCCTCTCTTAACACTGAACCAGAATCCTTATATTTATTCCTGACTGCCAAAGACTAACTATGCCCATCTACTGTCAACGATAAGATAAGGGGACATAGTGATTAAGATTTGATGTCAGAAGACCTATATTCAAGTTCCAGTCCATCAATACCTCCGTAACAGTGGGAAAGCTACTTAACCATCTCAGCCTGTTCCATCTAAATATTATTAATAGGTATCAGTTACTACTTCCCTTGGAATGTTATTGTCAAGACATTTGAAAGCATTTTATAAAGCCCCTGTAAACTATCATTCATTATCATGAGTTCCAATAAACTTCCTTGAGTATAACCCAAACCTTTCAAATATTTTGAAAGATTCAAAAACTGGCCTAGATCTGCACCTACCACAAAAGCCCAGAGTATACTCCTCTCAATGTGCTCTTTACAACTGTGAATGCAAACCTGTCATAGGGATGAATAAAAGAACACCCATACTCAGTAACATTTACCAGTGATTGGAACCGTCTTGAAACTTCAACTTTGGTCCCCCAAAAACATTATTCTAGAAACTCTCCAATTAGAATTCCATAAGTGGCAGGTCATTTTAAATATAGCTGCCAGTCCTACCCTCCAAATTATCTTATCCACTTTGGTAAAGTCAGTATCATACTAGGCCAGCCACACTAGTCTTTTATGCTACATTTTTCCCCAAAGTATGCCAACCCTTGTTCAAAGGTACTTAATAAAAGTAAGACATGATTAGCAAAAGCTTTAAATTTAAAAAAAAAAAATAAAGCTTCAGTGATTCACAAATGATACATACTTATTCTTTGAAATTTTACTATCAAGGTATTCCAAAGTGTAGGAAAAACATCTCATATTAAAATATTTACACTATTCTGTCAGGCTGATTACATTTATCATAGGAAATTATTTTTAACAAAGACATGTTTCTAAACAGATATATCATTAACAGAAAAATATATCTTTATTTCAATGTCAACATAGCACATACTTCAGAAGAGTTCATCTGTTTTATCCACTAAGAGTTCATCCATTTTATCACTCTGAGCTACCAATGACCAGTCTTAAAGTTACCTTACCTGCTGAAGGTGTTGCTCTTACTACTTCAACTGCTCCTGGGAGATCAAGAGGCTGGCTATATACCAGTTTAGAACTCAGAATAAGTTTACTAGCAGTTTGTAGATTGGCAATCGACGAAGAATGTGGCATGGGGCTCACACTAGGAGAGGTTTCTGGAGAAGAGTCTACATTCTTCTGCCCAGGGACTGGAAGCAAACTCTCAGATGAGACACCTTCTGAAACTTTAGCTTTAAAAATAAATTATGAAATCATGAAATGTATTACTATCATCACCATACATATGAGCTAGAATATTATTTTGTTGTCACTTAAGAAATATGGGCCGGGCACAGTGGCTCACGCCTGTAATCCTAGAACTCTGGGAGGCCGAGGCAAGAGGATAGCTTGAGCTCAGGAGTTCAAGACCAGCCTGAGCAAGAGCAAGACCCTGTCTCTACTAAAAATAGAAAAAATTAGCTGGGCATGGTGGCGCATGCCTGTAGTCCCAGCTACCTAGGAGGCTGAGGCAGGAGGATTGCTTGAGCCCAGGAGTTTGAGGTTGCTGTGAGCTAGACTGATGCCACGGCACTCTAGCCGGGCAAGAGAGTGAGACTCTGTCTAAAAAAAAAAAAAAAAAAAAAAACATGGCTTCTTAACGCACTTTAGAGGTAAGGATACAGAGAAAACTTGTATACACTGTTGGTAGGAGTGTAAATTACCACTACGGAAAACAGTATGGAGGTTTCTCAAAAAACTAAAAATATCAAATGATCCAGCAATCTCACTACTGCGTATTTCTCCAAAGGAAAGGAAATCAGTATATCAGTATTACAGCACTACTCAGGGAATCAACCTAAGCATCCATCAATGGATGAATAGATAAAGAAAATGTGGTATATATACACAACAGAATACCATTCAGCCATAAAAAAAAAAAAATTGAAATCCTGTCATTTGCAGCAACATGGATGGAACTGGAGGTCATTATGTTAAGTGAAATAAGCCAGGAATAGAAAGACAAGTATCACGTGTTCTCACTCATATGTGGGAGCTAAAAATGTTGATCTCATGGAGGCAGAGAATAGAATGATAGTTACCAGAGGCTGAGAAAGGGGGGTGGGTGAAGAGAGGCTAATTCTCTGGTGTTAAGAATCTCTTCTTGATGAACTCGTTTTAGATCCCTTACTCTCGCATACATTTCTTCCAACATACAGTTGGAAGAAATAAGATCTAGTGTTCGATAGATCAGTAGGGTGACTATAGTTAACAATAATCTATTGTACATTTCAAAATAGCTATATGAAAATAATTTGAATGTTCCTAACATAAAGAAAAGATAAATACTTAAGGTAATGAATATTCTAACTACCCTGATTTGATCATTACATATTATATTCATATATCAAAATATCACATGTACCCTATAAATATATATAATTATGCATCAATTTGAAAAAAATGTATAAAGTACTTTGGAGATAGAGTCAATTTTCAAAATTTTGCTTAGTTACCTTAATAAATTTTTTTGTACCATTCTACTTTTTATTAGCATCAACGATTCCATCACAGGAATACTGTCCAGTCAGAACCACAAGATATAAAAGCTGTTATAGAAAAAAATCTTAAGTTACGTAGTCCAGTGTTTTCACAAACTTTAAAATATCTTAAAAGCCTGAGGAATTTGGTAACATGCAAATTCCCAGGCCTTAACCACAGGGACACTGATTCAGGTGATTTGAGGTAGAGCCCAGTTATCTGCATTTTTAATAATCAGCCCAGGTATTTCCAAAATAGATGGGTCATGAATCAAACTTTGAGAAATAACAATGCAGTGCTTTACTTAATAAATGAAGAAATTTAAGCCTAAGAGAGCTTAATGATTTTCCTAAGGTCATATAGTTAACTAGTGGCAAAGAAGACACTAGAATACCAGCCTCCTATCAAATTCTCAAACAAAAGAATGATTTCAAGAACAAACACAAAAAATAAAAGTTGCAAACAAGATTAAGATAGTATTAGTTGACTAGCTTTGTAAGGCATATTGACTTCATCTTCTTCCAAAGAGTTTCTAGCCTTCATATTACAGTGTAAATCTCAAAGCAGATTCAGTAATCTGTGCTTCTGTTACACATGAGGGATACTTTATATTACAGTTATTTATTTGCTTGTCTCCCCTCATCGGACTATGGCAGTATTCATCAAGGGCAGGGATAATGTGCTGTTGCTTTATACACCTCCAGGAGCACCAGAATATCCAAGGGATAATAAATAATTAATCCCCGTGTGTTTCTATATTAAACATGTCAATCTATCTTATAATGGCAGGCCACTCAGTAAGAAATATGAAAACATTTAAGACTATAGACTTGAATCAGTAGTCTATCACTAATTAGATGTGTTTCCTTAAGCAATGCACTTCACCATCTCTGGCTACTCTCTCACCAGTGAAATAAGGTTGAACGTCTTCATTTCTCTTCCTGTAAACCAGGTAATTTCCTAATATATATCTCATGCTAAGAAAGAAAATAAAAGCAGGAAAAAAAGCAAAGACTTTATAGTCAACAAGGCCCATATAATGACAAACTATATAACGGGACTTGGTCAAGTTATTTAACCTTATTCCGTTAGTAAATTGGGGATAATATCTATTTTACATATATAAAGCACCTATCTCAGTGCCTGGCACCCAGAAGATATTCAACATATTTCCTTCTCTATCTAAATATAAGCCATTCATTTCATCCTCTGACAGGATATTCAACACTCTGATATATTCAAGTGTTAGCTGTGAATAGCAACATATACTATGTTAAATCTGTAGCAAATGTCAGAACCAAAAGATGGATGCTTTCTATCACAGTCAAAAAGAGCATATTATTTGTTTGCCTAACTATAACATAATCTCATGGTCTGTGAATTTCTACTGCTGTCACAAACAGGGTAGGCAAGCAACTCTAAGAAGCTCTGGCTTTAGGGCAACAACACTGGGACACTCCCTCATAAGAACTGGGGATAGAAGGTAGCACATGACTCCTGTCCTACTATAAGGATTTGTTACTACCTCAATAAATCTATTTAGAACCATCCTGGCTCTGTGCCCGATTTTAGAAAATATCATATTCTCTGGTGTTAAGAATCTCTTCTTGATGAACTCGTTTTAGATCCCTTACTCTCGCATTTCTATGAAATCCATATAATGCCAAAAATTAACTCCAAAGGCTCTGAAAGAATTTTTTAACTCCTGGTCCCTCAAGAAGATTAGGCCCAACTAAGTAATGATAAAAGTTCTATTAAGTCATTTGGCTGTTCTAATGCCAGTTCATGGCTCAGTTAGAACTTGT